AAAAAAAATGAACAAAGCTTTAAGAGACGTATTATAAAGGGGAAACTGAAAACCAAGCAGATAATCACAGTGTAGTATAATAAGTACTATAATTAAGTTATAAACCAAATGCTATGGAGACAGAAATAAGGGAATTATTAGATTTAATTTTGTTTCTTGAGGGCATGCTTTATTCATCTTGGTATCATGTGTGGCTAGCACTATGCTTAGCATCCAGTAGGTAAATAATAGATACTGGTTAAATTAAGATTTAACTGTATTTGATTAAACTCTCTTATTTTCCCCTTTCTCCCCTTGTCTTTCAGAATGCAAGGTATGGAGAAACCCTCTAAATCTTTTCAGAGGAGCAGAATATAGAAGGTATTGCATTTTGCTTTCAGTATAAGTACAACATTGTCTTAGAGTAAAAAAGAACTTTGGGAATGTTTGCTTTTATAAATATGTCACAGCTCTTCTAGTTGGAGATACTAATACCTGATATGGTGAAATGATTAGCCCAAGGATTACTTGGCAGCGTCTTGACTGTGATTACTTTTATAATCATGAGAAGCAGTGCTTCAAACCATGTATTTGTAATACATAATAGAATATATTAGCCAAGAGCAGTGGCTAATGCCTTTAATCCTAGCACTTTGGGAGGTAGAGGCGAGAAGATTGCCTGAGCCCAAGGGTTCGAGACCACCCTGGGCAATGTGGTGAGACCTTGTCTCTACAATCAATCAAAAAATTAACTGGACGTGGCGGTGCACACCCTTAGTTTCAGCTACTTGGAAGGCTGAGGTAGAAGGATCACCTGAGCCCAGCAGTCTGGGGTTTTGCTGACTGTGAGCATGCCACTGCACTCCAGCCTGAACAACAGGGTAAGACTCCAACTCAAAAAAAGAGAATATATTAGGCCCCTGATTTATAGCAGAAAGCTTTTGTTAAAAATTTATAATAGTAAGAAAAAATTACAGATGTCAACATATTCCTAACAAGTATCACTCTGAATGTGAACTTCATTTGTGCAACAGTACTGGGTGCAATACTTTTATATTGATATATTACCATTTTCTATCTTCACTACTGTGTCCATTTTCCTTCTGGTTTTTACTCCAAATGAAAAAATATCATTTGAAACTTATGACCAAAGATACTTCACTTTTATTTTGAAGGAGACTGTGTTTTGCCTAGAAATAGTCTGGGACATGTTATTTAATTCATTGAGCAAAAATCACTGTGTGGCTGCTATATATGGGCACTGTGCCAAATGATGGAGATACAGAAACAACTAAGCAGTAACCCCTGTGCTTAAGTACTTGGTAATGTAAAGTAGTGACATCCTGAGACATGGAAGCTGGGCTTTTATGACAGATGTCATTAGCCTTTGTTAGGGATTCTGCGAGAAGCAGGTCCTTGAACCTCTTGCTGTGCTTAATCAAAATTTGAGCCTATTCTTGATTCAGAAGGATCACCTGAGCCCAGCAGGTCAGAATGAGACTTCAACTCCAAAAAAAAAAGTTTGAGCCTATTCCTTATTATATTATACAGTATCTGGTTTATGAAGGTCTTAAAGAGAAATTTCTTAGTATCAGGAATACTTGTGCTTCTTTTGAATGATTAGTTTACGTTACTGTAAAAGTCTAAACTGTGCTGATGACCATTGTGTGGCTCTAGAAAACTTAAAGCCATATTTTAGCCAATGCTTAGGAAGTGTATAGAACTCTTTGGTATATTTTTCATATGTTGACTTCATTCCAGGCTCCATTTTTTGTCCCAATCCTTATTTTTCTTGTATCGAGTCTTATTTTTTTTATATATAATTAAAAAATAGAGACAGCCAGGCGTAGTGTCTCACACCTGAAATCCCAGCACTTTGGGAGGCAGAGGCGAGAAGATTGCCTGAGCCCAGGGGTTCGAGACCAGCCTGGGAAAATTGGCAAAATCTTGTCTCTACAATAAATCAAAAAATTAGCTGGGCGTGGTGGTGCACACTTGTAGTTTCAGCTATTTGGAAAACTGAAGTGGAAGGATTACCTGAACCCAATAGGTCTAGGCTGCGGTGGCCAGGAACATGCCATACTCCAACATAAAAAAAAGAAGGAAAATAGAGACAGAGTCTCGTTATGTTGCTTAGGCTGGTCTCAAACTTCCGGGCTCAAACAATCCTCCTTTTTCAGCCTCCTGAGTAGTTAGGGTTATAGGCTCTAGCCACCGGGCCTGGCTGAATTGTTGTATTTACTTCTAATTTAGATTATTGATATTGTACATTATAATTTTTTGACCACTTTACACCATTTTGGGAATGATGTGAATTGTTACATTTTTCAGTTCTTAGGATGCATAGCAAAACTTTGATATATGAACAAGGATTTGCGTTTTCTTTTTTCTTCATGATAATGTCTTAACAAAGTAACTAAAAGATTTAGCATGGCAGTTTATACTATTAAATAACTTAAAGCCTAGGCAACATAGCAAAGATCTTGTCTCTACAAAAAACTCAAAACATTAGCCAGGTGTGATGGCATGTGCCTGTAGGCCCAGCTACTTGGGAGTCTGAGGCGGAAGGATGGCCTGAGCCCAGGAGGTTGAGACTGCTGTGAGCCGTGATGGTACCACTGCACTTAAGCCTGGATAAAAGAGTGAGACCCCAACTCACAAATAAATAACTTAAAATCTTTGATTGTATATGTAAATAACACTATACTTTTTAAATGTACCAGCCTGGGTAAAATAGTGAGACCTTATCTCTTCAAAAAATGAAAAAAAATAGCCAGGTGTATTCGTGTGCACCTGTAGTCCCAGCTACTTGGGAGGCCAAGGTGGAAGAATGGCTTGAGCCAGGAGGTTGAGGTTGCAGTAAGCCATGATGGTGCCACTGCACTCCAGCCTGGGCAACAGAGTGAGACCCTGATTTTTTAAAAAATGCTTATTTTTTCTGATTGTAAAACATATGCATATTCATTGTAGAAAATTTGAAAATGCAAAGATGTTAAAAAAATAAAAATCACTTCTTCCACCCCCAACTGGTAACTGCTATTAGTGTTTTAGAATACTTCCATCCAGTCTCTCTCTTCTGTATGCATTTATAAAAATGAAACAGAATCATAATGTGTATATAGTTTTGCATCTTTCTTTCTAATAAATAATATGAATTTCCCACAAAATTGCTTAAAGACATAAATTTCTTCAAAAATGATTTTTTACAATTGTATTATATGATCATTCTATTATATGGAAAAACCATACTTTACTTACAGTCCGTTTGTCTGGGTCACTAAGATTATTATTATTATTTAATTAATTAATTATTTTGAGTCAGAGTCTCGCTCTGTTGCCCAGACTGGAGTGCGGTGACATGCTCACAGCCACTGCAGCCTCAACCTGCTGGGCTCAGGTAATCCTTCCGCCTCAGCCTTCCAAGTAGCTGGAACTACAGGCACATGCCATCACACCTGGCTATTTTTTTGATTTATTGTAGAGATGAGGTGTCCCCAAGTTGCCCAGGCTGATCTTGAACCCGTGGACTCAGACAGTCCTCTCACCTCAGCCTCCTAAAGTGCTTGGATTATAGGCATCAACCACCACACCTGGCCTAAGATTATTATTTTACTATTAACATTTATACTAGAACAATATCTTTTTATATATAAATCTTTAGCCACATCTGTGATTACTTCTTTGAGGTTGATTTGCATCACTGGAATTAACTGAAGAGTATAAAGAGTCTCTTTTTTCCTTTAATCTTTAAAAAAATTATTACTGTGGAAATCTTCAAAAATAAACAAAAGTAGGAAGAATGGTATAATGGAATTCCATAAACCCACCTCCCAGCTAGGTGTGACTACTTTTAAGACTCTCCATAGATACTACCTAAGTGATTTATGGAAAGAGAAATGTACATACCATAATATTTATACCAGCAATGTGTGTGTGTGTCTCTTGCTTCACCCTTGATAACATCACTAATTTGATAGATGTAAAGTAAAACTTAGTTATTTTCATTTCCTATTAATAATAATTTGCTGTTATTAATTATTCTGAAATTTTACATTCAAAAATATATTTATTAGGCAGTTTGTTAACTTGCTATTTATTAATTTATTGTGGAACTGGAAATACTAAAGTTTAAATTTTTGTTTTGGTTAAATCTGGAAAAAAGTACCTCTTTGTTTTTATGCTTTGAAAGTCTTTTCTTGTCTTAACAGCCAGTAAAAATTCACCTGTGTTTTCTTCTAGTTTCTTTGTAGTTTTACTTTTTAACTTTTAATATTTAATTCTAACTCACTGGTAATTTATTTAAATGTAGTTACTAAGATATATCTAACTCAAATGGTTTTATTCCTTCAAATCTTTTTTTATCTGTTTTTTTGTTTGTTTTGTTTTTGAGACAGGATCTCACTTTGTCACCCAGGCTGGAGTGTAGTAGCAAGATTTGGCTGACTACAGCCTTAACGACCTGGGCTCAAGTGATCCTCCTGCCTCAACTTCCTGAGTAACTGGGACGATAGGCATGTGCCACCACACCTAGCTGTTTTACTTATTTTTTGTAGAACCAAGGTCTCACTATGTTGCCCAGGCTGATCTTGAACTCCTGGCCTCCAGCAATCTTCTTGGCCTCCCAGAATGCTATGATTATTGGTGTGAGCCACCATGCCTGGCCCAAATCCACTTTTCAAAGCACTGTTTATTGAATACAAGTATCCTTTTCCTGTTTGATTTTTGGTGTTTATTATCATACTCTAGTTTGTATAGGTTATCTCTTTTGTTTTACTGACCATAATAAGGTTTTTTAAATCCTGAAATAGAATTTGTTGTACTCATATATTTTTGAATTAGCATAGTGTCTCTCGTAGCAGATAGATGCTCTCTCTTGTCCAATTTAAATATTTTATTGTGTTTTGGTAAAGATATACTTGGGTGACTGGTAAAGAACCACTTACATACTATGACATGAACTTGTCAGCTCAAGACCATCAGACCTTTTTCACCTGTGATACAGACTTTTTACGTCCTTCAGACACAGGTATGTGTCATATCTGTTAGTATTGTAAATAGTAATCATGAAATTCTTTAGAGTTATTTTCTATAATACACTGAGTTTTTTGCATTATTGATAAGAATCTCAGAGAAAAATTGAAACAAATTATTGTAAGCTAGGTTGATATGCTACCTTCTTATAAAACATGTAAAGTATTTTATGCTTCTTTTATTGCTTAAAAAAGCCTTTCAGATCAAATATAGCAATTGCTTTTGGGAAAAACAGTGTACGCTGTTTTGGTTTGGGAAATTACTATGTGCCCATACTTATACGTAAAAGAAAAGGACAATGTGTAAGCATTAGGGAATGGCATGTAGAGAAAAATGCTTTAGACATCAGTTAGAGTGGGTATAAAGTGGTAGGGGATCATAGAACAGTCTGTTTAGTTCTCTCTATGCTCTGTGTTGAAGAGAGTGTGGAGACTCTGAAGGATGTGACTTAACGACAGGGATCTTTATCACAACTTTTCTTCTACTTTATTTAATTAATTAATTTATTTATTTATTTTGAGTCAGAGTCTCACTCTGGCACCCAGGCTGGAGTGCAGTGACGTGCTCATGGCCACTGCAGCCTCAACCTGCTGGGCTCAGGTGATCCTTCCACCTCAGCCTTCCAAGTAGCTGGAATTAGAGGCGTGCGCCACCATGCCTGGCTAATTTTATTTATTATAGAGACAAGGTCCTGCCAAGTTGTCCAGTCTGGTCTTGAACCCCTGGGCTCAGGCATTCCTCTCGCCTTGGTCCCCCAAAGTGCTGGGATTATAGTTGTGAACCACACCAGACCTTCCACTTTAAATGCCCTCACTCTCCTTGTCTGTCTGATGAGTTAATTTTTTATCCTTTAATATCTAAATTAAAAGTGAAATTCTGTAAGGAACCTTCTCTGTGATCTGTCACAATTAAACACTTTCTGTAGTTCTGTAGTACTTATTCTAATAACAATGAAGTAAATCTAGTTAATTTATTCAATCACAAACATTTATTTATTAATATTATCATGTTACTTTCATGTTTGTCTTCGCTAATGGTTGTGAAACTTTGGAGAGCAGGACTATATTCTTGTCATTTTTGAATCCTTAGTATCTAGCCCCTTGCCTAGCATAAATGTTTATTCTTTGACAAATAAATGAATGGCATAGGTGTCATAGATGTCTTAAGAAATTTCACATTAATAGCCAACACTTATATAGCACTTACTATGTGCTAGGCACTGTTCTAAGCAATTTATAGAAATGTACTAATTTAATCTTCCCAATCACTTTATGAGATAGGTACTATTGTCAGCCTCATTTTAAAAATAAAGGATCCAAAGCAAGGAGGGATCAAGTAGCATGCATGCATTGAGTCACACAACTAATACATGATAAAGCTGGGTTTCAAACTCAAGTCATGGCTGTTAACCACTACACTATTATTGCTTCTACACACCACATTGAGAAGCAGAAGAAAATCACCAGTAAGAGTCTGAAAAATTGCCAATTTCTCAGCATTGAAATGAGTTCATTGTGGTTTATCTCTGCTGGATTAAATATGCTAAGAGTGACTGTTAGCAGGGAACCTAAGGATCTTTGGTATGGTTACATAAAATGGTTTCTTTGCAAATAGAGGAGTAAGAAAAACAGCTTTATGTTTATATGCTTAATGTTTATGTTAATGGCAAAAGCAGTAGAATATCAGTATTATATGTTAACTTTAAGGATTGAAGACTCTGGAAATTAGGCCTCACCTTCCTCTCTCCCACCAACTGAGCTGCAAATGTCAGCAGGCTTTTCAGATAGCAGCCTTGGCTATTCACTAAAGCTGTGGTCTTAAAACATTTTTATTGAATATCTTCTAAAATAATTTTTGAGAGAGGATGTATACCTTTACATATTTGTAAATTGACAGTATAACATTTAAATAATCACAAATAATGTAATTTTTGGCATATTGTAAAATATGCATATTTAAAAATAAAACTGATATACTTTATATTTCAGTGTATGTCATGGAATCAAATGATTTGATGCCCACCAGTAGACATTGAAAAATACATGAACAAGTGCTCTCTAACAGTAATAAATTCTCGTATGACTTTTTTCTTCTTGAACACATCTATTTTATACCCCTGCATAAATTTATTGTATTGTAATTATTTTATGCTGTAGAGTCTTCTGTCATACTAGCATACTTTTTTACAATAAAAAAATTAATGTGATTTTTCCAATATTAAAATTTCACTTGACCATAAAGTTCTTTTTTTTTTTTTTTTTCCCCAAGTTGGAGTCTCTCATTCTTTGTCGTCCAGGTTGATGCAGTAGCATGCTCACAGCCACCACAACCTCAACCTGCTGGGCTCAGGCAATTCTTCTGCCTCAGCTTTCTGAGTAGCTGGAACTACAGATGTACGCCACCATGCCCAGCTAGTTTTTGTGATTTATTGCATAGATGAGATCTCATGAAGTTGCCCAGGCTGATCTTGAACCCTCGGTCTCAGGCAGTCCTCTCACTTCAGCCTCCCAAAGTGCTGGGATTATAGGCCGAGCCCCCACACCCAGCTAACCATAAAGTTCTAAATGTTATGTGCTTCAGTTACATTTTTGTCAATCCTTACTGCATCTTTAGCTCTTCTAAACTTTGGAAAATGTCCTCCTTATAACCTAACTGACTGGTTCAGTCCTCATTGTTAATTCTGTCAACCAAATTAGACTTATTTTCTGACAGAAGTCTGACATCAGTCTTCAATTCGAGTAAATATGTTAACATGCATCCCCATGACAACCATCTCTCTTCTGAATTCAGATTCTGAGATAAATAAATCTTGAAGCTTTGCCTAGAGCTTATCACTTGGCCAAAATAAGACTCCACTGCCTCTGTTATTCCTTACTAATGCTTCCTTTGCCTTGATATAAGAGCATCTTCCCTTAGAAGCAATGCAGTCTTTGGTAGTAAGTAGAGAGAGCTGCCCTTGGAACCGATAACAATTGTTATTGCTCCCCTCCCCGCTCTGTAATATACTTGAATTCAGAGCATCCAGGAGCCAGAATACGTTATTTCTAATGCCAGTCTCCACTGTTAAAAGAAATAAGTAAAAGCAGGTATCCCTATGATAGGATGCCTTGATTAAAAATGGCTGCCCCCAAACGCAAAACTGTGAATAGTCCCCTTGGTATCTGGAGATTTTTACACTATAGGGCAACACACCCTTGCAAGATTCAAGATGGGTAAGAAGTAAGCCTTTCTTTTGTCAAACAGGAGAAGGGGACATATCTTTGGGAGAAGAGGGTGTGGAGATTGTGGTTACGTAGGAAAAGGAAACCAGCATGATGCATAGACCAATCTGAAACACTCAGGTAGGTCAGTTATAGGAAGGAGTCATATACATTTGAGGCTTTAGCAATTGGCTTTTCTAAAACTTTATGTTTCCCATTTTGGACCTTGCAAAGTTTCATGTAATTCTAGAGATACATATAACTCCAGCTAAAGACTGAACTCACAGAGAACAGAATTTATTTGTGAATGATAATTCAGAAATGGACTGTTGGTTCCATACTGGTCATTTCAAACATGCACATAAAGGTAATGATTTATATCAGTAGTTTTGTATTCTAAAAAGACAAACATGTTTGTATGTGTGCTGTGACAAATTTCTCTCTCTCTTTTTTTTTTGAGTCGGAGTCTTACTCCGTCGCCCAGACTGGAGTGCAGTGGCCGCTCCCGGCCACCGCAGCCTTGACCTGCTGGGCTCCAGCGATCCTTCTGCCTCAGCCTTCCAAGTAGCTGGAACTACAGGCGTGCACTACCATGCCTGGCTAATTTTTTGATTTATTGTAGAGATGAGGTCTCGCTAAGTTGCCCAGACAAATTTCTCTTAACTTACTGTCATCACTAAGTTGGTAGATTTTGTTCTTATCCTATTGATTTTTTTTTTTTTCTTGAGAAAGGGTCTCACTCTGTCTCCCAGTCTAGAGAGCAGTGGTGTGATCATAGCTCACTGTGGCCTCGGACTCCTGGGCTCAAGAGCTTCTCCCACTGCAACCTCCCAAGTAGCTAGGACTATAGGCATATGACACCACACCTGGCTAATTTTTGTAGAGATAGAATCTTGCTATGTTACCCAGGCTGGTCTTGAACTGCTGACCTCCAGTGATCCTCCCACTTCAACCTTCCAGAGTGCTGGGATTGCAGGCATGAGCTACTGCCTGGCCCTCATCCTATTAGCTTATCTTGGGCAGAGAACAAACGTATCTACAAGGGCCAACCAGCAGTGTTTTTTGGATTATTTGTTTTTAATTTCAACATTTAAAACTCAGATTTTATATTAAAATCCAAATTTGCAATTTTTGAAAGTTGGAAAATATGGCAAAATTGGACCATTTGGCATTAATCAGATAGAGCTGAGTGGTGGTTCTCCCCTTTAGATAGTGTGTGCTTTTAGTTCACTCATTTATGTGTTTTTGTTTACTTGTTTTTGAGCCAGTCTCACTCTCTCTCCTAGCCTGAAGTGCTCGACTCACTGGGTTCAGGCGATCCTTCCAAGTAGCTGGAACTACAGGCGCATGCTACCACGCCCGGCTAATTTTTTTATTTCTTGTAGAGATGAGGTCTCGCCTAATTGCCTAGGCTGGTCTGGAACTCGTGGGCTCAGGCATTCCTCTCACCTCGGCCTCCCAAAGTGCTGGAACTATAGGCACGAGCCACTGTGCCCGGTCTATTTATGTTTAATGCCTGACATTTGTAGGCATTTACACTTATGATCCCTGACCTTATGATAACCACTGGTCTTTTTGTTGCTTGTTAACATATTAGAATATTATTTAACTTGAAAAATAGATAAATTTGAATAAATTGTTAATTGCTTGTGTTGATTATATTTTAAGCATATCAAGAGCTCTTAAAGAGGACATTTGGATACTAAATCCACATTTTGCTTTAAATTAAGCCTTATTTTAGAAAAAAAAATTTTTTCCCTCCTCTATTTTATTTCCCCTTTTCCCTTGGACTTAGCTGCTTTGGTTATGAAGAATACTCTTGAAAGCCTGCATAGCACATTTGAAAACATAAGAATAAGAAATAAATGCTTAAAGGTGAATTAGATGACCTCACTGAAATTTTTAAAGATGAAAATAAAGACAGTTTTCATGTATTAAATAAGCAAAAATTGATAATCCTGTGTTAAGGAATTAGGGAAACAGTCATTCTCCTACGCTGCCTGAAAGTGTATAAATTAATACGATCTTATTGAGAGAAGTTTAGGGTTATATATTCCATATGTTTTTTTTTTAATGTGTACATTTTAACCAACTAGTCTACTTCTAGAAAGGAAATATTTGGTTAGATATGAAAAGATATATACTGAAAGATTGTTATCACAGTTTGTTTATATTAACAGAAAACTGGGTATAACAAAAGATAATTGATTCCCCTCAAAAGGAAATTGATTATATATAATGATGTATATTAATGTCCTAGACTACTAAATAACCATTTAAAATGTTAATAAAGATTCAGTGTCAAAATTTGACATGTAAATATCTTATAACTCATAGAGGAGAGACCCATTATCAAAAATCTCAAGTCTGACATTATACTTTATTTTTATATAATATTTGTTAGTGTCTCAGCAGAATCATGTTCTTTACCTGGCCACTGTCAGATGGGTGCTAACTTGCATCAATTTGTTGAGTTCAGGAAACATCAGCTGTCAGCCAGCTGGTGACATATTTAATATGAGAAATGTATTTTTGTTATACAAGTGGAATATATTGTCTCCTTTTCTAAGCCAAGACTAATATTTTGTTTCCAAAGGAAAACTCAAACATTTTCCACATTATTCATCCTGGACAGTTTTCGTTTTGTTCCAAAAGCAACACTCATGTATTTTCTATTTTTCTTATCAGACTTGAAATAGGCCAGATAGTTTTATGAATCTATTTTGTTTATTTGTTTGTTTAATTTTTCAGAAATTTTACTTAGTGTGAAGTCTTCATTTTGGTACAGTAAATGGTAGCAAGACTGATACTGTTTCTGGAAAAATCCTCATGAGACTTTTGTTGAATCCTGGTAGAGGCTGACATTTTTCAGAGATGTACTATATTCTAAATTAATTCCTTTTTTTCTTTCCCTTTTTACACAAAATGAAAATCCAAACCTTCTTCCTATAGTGAATTATTGACTAGGCAAGCACTTGGATTTACATTTTTGTGTATATATATATATATATTTTTTTTTTTAGCAGTTCCATAGAACCTTTTCAGAATGATAAAAATAAAACTAGAATATTTTATATTGATTATAATCTGACATCCCTTGAACTCAATTTTAACACACATTTAGATGTGTAAATGTTCATATGTAATGATGTGATTAACTTGGTGTTAAGTACCTTATATGTTGTTATTCAAATAAATCATAGAAATAATATATGTGAAGCTTCTAAATTTAATGTAAACTTCTCATAAGGTTAGTGTAAGCTGATAACCCAATTTTTGTTTCGTATGTTTAAAAACACATTATTTAAAGTTTTGTTTACTCCCCTAATTCATTCTTCATACATTTTGCATGCGATTATTTGTTTACCATCTCATCTACTTTTTGAAATATTTTTCCTACAGTTATGCAGAAGGCATGGAGGGAAAGAAATCCTCCAGCTCGAATCAAAGCAGCCTATCAAGCTTTAGAATTAAACAATGAGTAAGTTTGAAATCTATGGAAAATAACTTTGTTTCAAAGGAAACTCAGGCAAATTATTTTTCATTTCCTTTTGTCTGTTCCTAAGACACTTGGAGTCATTACAGTCCCCGTTCCCTTTTTACATAAGAGAGATTTAATTTGCAGTGTTTATCAACTTCTGTATTTTGCTTCTGAAAATTGTAATCTTATATATATTTTTGAGTAGAAATTATACTAGAAATACCTTTTTTTTTTTGAGTTGGAGTCTCACTCTGTCACCCAGGCTGGAGTGCAGTGGTACACTCATGGCCACCCCACCGTTGACCTGCTGGGCTCTGGCAATCCTTCCGCCTCAGTCTTCCAAGTAGCCAGAACTACAGGTACGCGCTATCACGCCCTGCTAATTTTTTGATTTATTGTAGAGACAGGGTTTCGCCAAGTTGCCTGAACCCGCGGGCTCAGGCAGTCACTCACCTTAGCGTCCCAAAGTACTGGGATTACAGGCTGGCCATCAAGCCCGACCAGAAATACTTTTTAAAATGGAGAATGCTGATGGAGAATGGTGATAATACTTAACAGAAACAAGGGTACTAAATACTTAATGCCACCTGTTTGAATTTTATTTTTCATTTAAGTCATTTGCTTAAAGGCATTCATTCATTTTTGAGAGCTTTAGTTGCTTATGGGCTTGGAGGCATGAGAAGGGGATTCAAAATAGATGAAACATAGCTCTATCAAGATTTTTTTATATTAACCACTTTTATTTTTTATAGTTCTTTGTATTAGCTTTGTATTTTGAAAAGTCAAAATCTAAAATCGTGGGTAGCTTCATATTTAAGTGGGACAGATAAATAAATATTCATCAAATACAGTCTAAATAAATGCTAAGAGTAGAAATATAGTCCCAGTTAGGGTTAATCAAGGGATGCTTCCTGGGTAATGTGAGTTTAGAGTTGTCTCTGAACCTCCCCCCATATGTATATGTGTATATAAAATCCTTAAGAGAACCTTCCCAAGGTAGAGCAAAAATGGCAAAGTAGGGACTCCAAAAGCAGTGAATAAACTGGCAAAAACTATTGGAATCGGCTTTTTAAAAATTATGGAAACTGACCAGAAGTTCATAGTAAGTTGGTGAATGCTTAATCAAGGAGGGAAACACCTTAATTTCTGTAACATCGCTTTTTTTCCCCCCTGTAAGATAGCTCCCTAGCTCAGTGGCCATCTTGAAGACAACAGTGTACATTCTAGGTATAGGTACCAGAGGAAGCAGAGTGGGCCTTATTTTCAAAGAACTCTGGTTGTTTATTTTGACCTATCTGATGGCTCTCTGAAGATCAGCTCAAAGGGTTTTGCTTTTATTTCAGTTTACTCAAAACATTCCCAGGACTGATGTAATAACTACACTGGGGGGGCAAATGCATTAGCCTCTGCTGCCTAGGGCAAGCAGTAGACAAACAAGAAAGCTTATAAGCAAAGGTTAGGGAATGGGGCACTTTGGGGAATAAAGGCTTTGAAAAGCTCCCACATTTTTCTAGGAATTTCAAAGTTTCCACACGTAACGAGAGCTGGGCAAGTGGTCAAAAAAGACTTAAGAAGAGCCTTAAGTCTTACATCTGGCTTACCTTCAGGTTCTGTATAAGCAGGAGGTGAAGGCTAAGGCAGAGTTGTAAACTGCTTGACTGAATGAATGTTGATGGTGTGCCCCAGTAAACACACACAGTTCATCTGCAAAGACTTTTGCTTTTTGTGTTTTGTCTGGTTTGGGTTCCAGGTGTTTAAGAAAATCTCTATCAAATCATTAACTGATCACTAGGCTAAAAAGTACAGACCTGGCCACACTTGACAAAGACTACAGATTTTGTTAAATTGGTTTAGAAAAGTCACTAAATTAATAACTACGATAAGCAGCAACAGCAAATTCTAGGGAGTAGAGAAAATCTGATTTCTCAGATAATCTGTTGCCAGAATATAATATTTAAAAATTTCCAGTTTTCAACAAAAAATTATAAGGCATGCAAAGAAACAAGAAAATATGGCCCATGTACAGGAAAGAAAATAAATTAATAGAAACTGCCTAGAACTAGACTTTGGACTTAATTAAACAAACACTTTAAATCAACTATTTTAAATATGCTCAAAAAGGTAAAGGAATTCATGAGAATGATGTCTCATCACTAGAGTATATCAACACAAAGAGGAGGAAATAATAAAAAGGAACTAAATTCTAGAATTGAAAAGTATAGCTGAAATGAAAATTTTGCTATAAGGCTGTGCTTGGTGACTCAGCCTGTAATGCCAGCACTTTGGGAGGCCAAGGCAAGTGGATTGCCTGACCCCACGGGTTTGAGACCAGTTTGGACAAATTGGTGAGACCTCATCTCTACAATAAATAAATTAACTGGGCATGGTAGCACACGCCTGTAGTTCCAGCTACTTGGAAGGCTGAGGTGGAAGGATCGCCGGAGCCCAGCAGGTTGAGGCTGTGGTGACTGTGAGTATGCCACTTTACTCCCACCTGGGTGACAGAGTGAGACTTAAAAAAAAAAAAAATATATATATATATCTACTGTTAAGTATTCGGCAGCAGATATGAGCAGACAGAAGAACCAGTGAACTTGATTTCAGGTCAACTGAAATTACCTACTCTGAGGAGCAGAAAAAAATTAAAGACAGAAGAAATATGAACAGAATGTAAGATACCTGTGGGACACTATCAAGCTTACCAACCGATGCATAATAGAAGTCCCAAAGAAGAGAGAGAAAAAGGGGTAGAATGAATATTTGAAGAAATAATACATGAAAACAAAATACTAGCACACCAAATCTAGCAGCATATTAAAAATGTTATACACCCTGACCAAGTGAGATTTATTTCTAGATGCAAGAATGGTTCAGTATATGAAAATTGATCAGTGTAGTGCACCACATTGACAGAATGAAGGAAAGAAGCCACAAGTATCTCAATTGGTGCAGAAAAAGCTTTTGACAAAATTCAACACGCTTTCATGATTAGAAAATATGAAAATCAATTAATATAATACTCGACATGAAGAGAACAGAGGACAAGAGCCACATGACCATCTCAGTTGGTGAAGAAAAAGTATTTGACAAAATCCAACACCATTTTATGATAGTCAAAAACCTAAGACTAGAAAGAAACTTTCTCAAGAGCATCTATGAAAAACCCAAAGCTAACTACATAGTTATGATGAAAGACTGAAAGCTTTTCCTCCAAGATTAGGAATAAGGTAATGATGTCTACACTTGCCATTTCTATTTAACATGGAATTGGAGTTTCTAACTAGTGCATTTGGCAAGAAACAAATTTTAATGGCATCCAAATTGGAAAAAGTAAAATTATCTCTGTTCACAGATGGCATGATCTTATATGTAGAAAATCTTCATCCACACGCAAAGTTAATGAGTTAAAGTTGTAAGAAACATGGGCTGGGCACAGTGACACAGCCTGTAATCCCAACACTTTAGGAGACCGAGGCGAGAGAATTGCCTGAGCCCAGAGGGTTGCGATCAGCCTGGGCAACTTGGTGGGACCTCATCTCTATAGTAAATCACAAAAACTAGCCAGGCATGGTGGTATAAGTCTGTAGTTCCAGCTACTGGAAGGCTGAAGTGGAAGGATCACCTAAGCCCAACAGGTCAAGACTGCAATGGCCATGAGCATGCCACTGTACTCTAGCCTGAGCGACAGAGTGAGACTCCAACTAAAAAACAAAACAAAAAAAGTTGTGAGAAATGAGATCAACATATAAAAATTAGTTGTATTTCAATACTCTAACAATGAACAATTCACAAAGAAAATTAAGAAAACAATTCATTGACAATAGTATCAGAAAAATTAAAATACTTAGGAAAAAATTTAATCAAGGAGATGTTAGACTTGTATACCGAAAACTACAAAGCAGTATTGAAATAAGTTCAAGGACTAAATAAATGGAAAGCTCTCCCATGTTCATGGATTGGAAGACTTAATATTGTTAGAATGTCAGTACTCCCTTAGTTGATCTACAGATTCAGTACAATTCCTATTAAAATTCCAGTGACCATTTTTGCAGAAATGAACATGGTGATCCTAAAATTCATAAGGAATTGCAAGTGATCCCCAATAGCAAAAACAATCTTGAAGTAGAAGGAAAAGTTGGAAGATTCACACTTCCCAATTTCAAAGCTGACTACAAAACTACAGTAATTAAATCATAAGGACAGACATTTAGCTCAATGAATTAGAATTGAGAATTTAGAAATAAATGCATACATCTATGGTCAACTGATTTTTGACAAAGATGCTGAGACCATGGAATGGAGGAAAGAGTAGTCTTTCAACAAATGATGCTGGAACAACTGGGTAGCTACATATATAAAAGGATGAAGTTGGACCTTTACCTTGTACCGTACATACCAATGAATTTAAAAATCAATCAAGGACCTAAGGAAGACCTAAAGTAGAAGAAAGCATAGGAGCAAATGTTCGTAACCTTGGTTTCTTAGATATGACACCAAAAGCACAGGCAACAAAAGAAAAGTTAGATGAATTCGATTTCATCAAAACTAAAACTTTTAGTGCCTCAAAAGGTACTGTTAAGCAACAGAAATAGATTTGTCTCTTGATGAGCATTGAGGAGGCGAGGGAGATGGGGAATGACTGCTTCATAGGTGTGGGCTTTCTTTGGGGATGATAAAAATGTTCTGGGGTTACATAGTAGTGATGGTTATACAACTTGGTGAATATATGAAAAGTTCCTGAATTACGCACTTTAGAATGCTTTAAGAAGTGAATTTTATGTGAATTTAACCTCAATTTTTCAAACGTCATTTCTCAAAGTAAGATTAATCAAGTATTCATAGAATTAATTTTATGTATTAACATCTCCATGTAAGATACTTTAAACAAATGCAAGTAAACTTTAAGGGGAAAAAATATTTTCACCATACAGCTATACTGTAATTTAAAATTATGTCTATATTTTTATGCTACTGCATCAATTTATACCCATCTAGATCTTTTATTTTTGTTTGTTTCTTTTTCTTGAGTTGAGGTTCTCACTCTGTCACCCAGGCAGTGCTGTGGCACAGTCACATCCCACTGCAGCTCCTACCTCCTGGGCTCAAGCGATCCCTCCACTGCAGCCTCCCAGGTAGCTGGGACTACAGGTGCACACCACCATGTCTGGCTATTTTTTTATTTTTTGTAGAGACAAGGTCTTTCTATGTTGCCTAGACTGATATTGAACTCCTGGGCTCAAGCAGTCCTCATGCCTCAGCCTCCCAAAGTACTAGTATTACAGGCATAAGTCACCATGCTTGACAAGAAATCTTTGTTGATTAGTGAAATTATTATGTACTTTAGGGTATCATTTGAAGGATGCTAAATGGTATGATTTGCATTTTCCATATCTAAAGAACCCCTTTTGTCCCCAGTTAATGATAGTTATCTGGCCATCACTTTTGTTTCATGCTTGGCTTTATACTTTTATTAATAATCTCTCTCAACCGGGCATGGTAGCTCATGTTCGAGACCTGCCCAGGTAACACAGGAGACCTCATCTCTACAAAAATAAAAAATAAAAATAAAAAATAATAATCTCCTTGTGCTTAGATAAGCACTAATCGATAGAATATAATGTGAACCATATATGTAATTTTAAGTTTTCTAGTACCCCCATTTACAAATAAATATAGGTGAAGTCAATTTGAATAATGTTTTATTTAGCTATATTCAAAATATTAAAATGTTCTTTTAACTTATAGTCAGTATTTTCTAAAACACTATTGAGATATTTTACATTCTTCTAAGTCTTCAAAATCCAGTGTGCATTTCACACTTGTATCTCAGTTTGGACTAGCTAGATTTCCAGTGCTCAATAACCATATGTGGCTAATGTCTAGAACAGTGGAAAGTACTGGCTTAGGTCATCGGAACCCAGACACTGTCCCCAGAAGAGATGGACTTACTTCTGGAAGTGGAAGAAAAGCTTTTTGTTTCTGTTTTTTGCTCCAAAGCAAGAATTAGTTGATCTTGTTAGCCAGTTGTTGAATTAAAATATACAAAAGAAGCATCTTTGTGTTTTAGTGGGGTGAAGAAAAGAAAAGTTGGAGTAAGCATGATTGTGAGGAGTGACAGTAGAAATGTAGGAGGAAGGACTAATTCAGAACAAGGGAACTTATGCTGTGTGCTATTGTGGATAATAAGTCTGAGGGAGGATGGGGCAGCACACAAAGGGAGCACCCATGCTTGGGAAAAAAGGTCTTCTCCTGGAATGTGTGTGTGAGTCAGATGGATATTATATAGTCTATAGTGACTAAGAGCAGATATGACCACTGGAGTATGCAATCCCCTGAGCTACTGTTCAGATACTTCTTCATATATATTCTTGCCTCCCCCTTTTCACAAAAAGAAAACACAGGATCAGAAAACAAATGAAATTTAAAAATAGAAAAGAAAGAAGAGAAAGATAAGAGAGTAGAAAAATGATGGAAACAGACATGAAAAATATACCAAACTGCCCTTAATAAAATAAAGTATTGAATGAAGTTTCTCTTTTTCTTCAAGAGGTGGAAAAACTTGGGATAAGGCTGGGAAACATGACTTAGGGCAAAGGGACATACCCAAGAGAAAACACTTGCTTTACCGTTTTACTTAAAATTGACTTGCTGTCTCTGTAGCTGTGCCACTGCCTATGTTCTGCTGGCTGAGGAAGAAGCAACAACTATTGTAGATGCCGAAAGGTTATTTAAACAGGCACTCAAGGCAGGAGAAACAATTTATAGGCGGTCACAGCAGTGCCAGCACCAAAGTCCTCAGCATGAAGCTCAACTGAGTAAGTACATTTGAACCGATGATTAACAGTTGTCTTTTAGCTCCTGTAATTTGCTCTTTTATGTTTAAAACACAAGACGATAATTTTTAAAAAGTATTTCTTGGAGGTTAATTTTCATAAAAGATTGCTAATCTATTCATAATACCTGCAACCTAGCAAGACAGAAGTATGTATTAGCCAGAGAATGTTTGTGGGAGGGAATAGTTCTGCTCTGGTTCCTGAGAGAAACTGCTGCTCTGAAACTTAATGGTAATTTCATGCAAGAATTGTACTGGCCATTAGAGAGACATAATTTTAAAATATTCAGCATTTAGGAGAGCCTTCCACTAATAATAAGTAGCTGTTACCTTTATCCTCATCCTTACTCTAAGTGACAGCAGATGTACATCATTTGGTCTGCTCCTCAGAATATGTATCTGCAGATAGTCCAGGGAATGGCCCCTTTCACACCATCTGATTCTTAGAACAAAATCCAACCTCATATTTGGCATTGATTCTTTCTTTGGTTGATTTTTTTCCATGATGTGTTTGGGATCAGGAGGGCCATAGCAATTGAAGTCCTTTCCATTCTTAGGTATACTCTCCCAGTTATGATAGGTACACTTTTTTTTTTTTTTTTTTTGAGTTGGAGTCTCACTCTGTCACCCAGACTGGAGTGCAATGGTCGCTCCCGGCACCGCAGCCTTGACCTGCTGGGCTCTGGCGATACTTCCTCCTCAGCCTTCCAAGTAGCCGGAACTACAGGCACGCGCTACCACGCCCGGCTCATTTTTATTTATTGTAGAGATGAGGGCTCGCCAAGTTGCCCAGGCGGGTCTCGAACCTGCGGGCTCAGGCAATCCACTCACCTCAGCCTCCCAAAGGCACAGGATTACAGGCTGAGCCATCGAACCCGGCTTGATCGGTACACTTTTACTAAAGATGTTAGAATCAGCAGTGCTGCTATTTTTATGGCCAAGGGGGTTTAGTTTTATCATTTTGGCAAATAGTGTATAATACATTGAAATGTTTATATAATGTATTTTCTGCTAGCAGTTAAATCTAAATCCAAATCTTTTTTTGGTGGAAATTGAAATTTAGATTATGTTTCTCTCTAAGCTAAATACTGGTATATGCAGTATGTTTTATTAATGCATGCTTCTATAACACATCTGTGGAGATATATAATTTTGTAGCCTGGAACTAATGAAACTACATCTGTAAGAAAAGTTCGTGTCATTCGTTCCTGTGTAGTCTCCAATATGAATATGAGATAATTACAGAAATCTTTATCAACTCTTTCTAGAAGTAGTATTATACTTTGTTGCTTACTTGCTTTTAACAAAAGTGTACATTAACCATGAAATTTTTGTTTTGGACATTTTTTTGTTTTTCAATTAGAATAATAAAGAATATTAAAATAATAAATTGTTTATGCACAAACTTCAAAGAGTAAATTAATGTTATGTCTTTTTACTAATGTGTATATTCTTCTGCCAATTATACATGAATTAGATGTACTGTACTTAGATTACTTATTTAGAGGCAAAAGTAATTCAATGTATATTTTAAGCTTTTAAATAGAAGACTTCAACTATGCACACAAATAGAGAAATCTCCCATTCAATATTTATCATCCAAATTTAACAGTCATTAATATTAATATTCTTCCATTCTGACACAATTTAATTTTAATTGAATCTTTTATGGTAAGCAAATAAAATTAATGGATAATATGTTAATGAGATAGTAGGCTATAAGTCAAAAGTGATAATTGTGCCATTTTTTGTTTTTCTAAATAGGGAGAGATACCAATGTACTGGTATATATTAAAAGAAGATTAGCAATGTGTGCAAGAAAATTAGGAAGAATAAGAGAAGCAGTAAAAATAATGAGAGATGTAAGTAAATTTATGACTGGACTATCATATTTATTCCTCTGAAAACTAAAAATGTAGTTTAACTTGCCAGTTATTTTAATGCAGAATTACTGTTTTTTAATTGGTAATTTTTGTAACAAGGTATTTATTTAATATATGTACATTTCTTAGGAGTTAGGTCTTCACAGTTTTGTTAATAATAAACAAGAGAATTTCTACTTTAATGACTCTGGCTCGGTTCTGTTGATTTCTTTTGCTATGATTTTAATCTTTTTTTCCTTTTAATATACAGTTGATGAAAGAATTCCCTCCTCTTACCATGTTGAGCATCCATGAAAATCTCTTAGAATCACTTTTAGAATTACAGGCCTATGCAGATGTTCAAGCAGTCCTAGCAAAATATGATGGTGAGTCATATTTGTCTTAGTTGATACCATGGTTAAAATATTCTTTTTCCTATTATATTATGATAAATATGGTCATATTTTAGTATTTCTGTCGTTTTCTCTTTCTATTCTTACCAGTCAGTATTTACTATGGAGAGGTATAAATTGCTATTAAAGTATCTTCTTTATCAAGGCTTTTGGTAGCAAAGCCTACAAGGAGGAACTTTTCTTCTGTCAAGATTGATTTATTTATTGAATGCCTAATATGAGTGAAGTGTTTGGAATGTGATATTGAACAAGAAGACATGGACTTAGCCCCCATAGGATTTACAGTTTAGTGGAACAGACAAACGAGCAGCAGTTACAGTGAAGTCAGCGTGTTAGGTGAGATAACTAGAAAAGTTGGATGCTGTGCACACAGGAGGGTACCTCATTTGTTCTGGAGTGTCAAGGAAGGCTAACAGAGAAGTTGCTTAGTAGCGTGTGTGTATAAGAGTAATTCAGGGCCCAGCACGAGGGTTCATGTCTATAATCCCAGCACGTTGGGAGGCCACGGTGAGAGGATTGCCTGAGCACACAGGTTCGAGACCAGCCTGGGCAACTTCGCGAGACCTCATCTCTACAATAAATCAAAAAATTAGCTGGGTGTGGTGGCGCATGCCTCTAGTCCCGGCTACTTGAAGGCTGAGGCAGAAGGATCACCTGAACCCAGCATGTGGAGGCTATAGTGGCTGTGAATGTGCCACTACACTCCAACCTGGGCAACAGAGTGAAACGCCAACTCAAAAAAAAAAAAGAGTAACTCAGAATCACATTTTTACAATGCTTTTTGGTTACAAAGTGTGATCCATGAGCTTATCTGATCCTTACAGTAGTCTCATGACGCGGTAGGATGAGCATTTTCGCTCTCTACGGTTGCAAAATAAGGAAGCGGGAGTTCAAGAAGGTTGAAGTGTTGGGTCAGGTCTCCTAACCAGGAAGTAGCAAACCTGAGCTTAAAACCAGGTATTCGATTTCTTTGTCCACTCATATATCCATAGTAACAATTCAGTATATATTGACTATTTTTCTTATGCTGTAACAATGCCAGTTTACCACAAACAAAGTTTGGAAAATTTTAAAGACACATAGTCTTTCTCCTCATTTTAAGAGCAGTAGTTTTTAACAAAACTTGGGGTTGCTATGTTTCTGGTCACCCCTTTCACTGTAACAGAACACATGTAAGTCACTTAGTCACATTTGTCCTGTTGTAGGCTCCTCCCCATTAGCTTGGGAATCCCCATAACTTGGAAAGTTTGAAATGTGTTATACTTGGAAAGAGCAGTTTCTTTCTTTTAAACATCTGGAATTCTTAGGAAGTGTTTCAGAATAGTGTAGGCTCATGGAGAAATTTGTGAGAAATTCTTTCCACACATCACTCACTGGATACGTGACCTGCTTATGATGTTTATGATGAACAAGCTTAGAGACTGAATATAAAAAATCAGAATAGGACTTGATTCATCAAAAGTGAACTAAAACTGGTCATTTTGCTAAGCACTGGCCAGGCTATGTGCTCATTGAGCTCTGGTTGCTTCCCTACCTTGGGGAGGTAAATCTCCTGTCTCTGTCTTCTCTTTCTCTCTCTCTCATTTACTTTCTAGCCATTGCCTTGCTAAGCACTGGCCAGGCCATGTGCTCTCTGAGCTGTGGTCACCACTGTGTTTCCTAAGCTTTGGCCCCTTCCCCTGCCTTGGGGAGATGAATCTCCTCTCTCTTTCTCTAATTTACTTTCTAATAAACTATATTTTCCAATCTGAAAAAAAATAAAAAATAACTAAAACTAATAAAGCATATCTAAGCTGATATGCTTCTGTGTTTTTAGTTATTTTCATGAGTTCCAGTTTTTACCATTCTGGAATCCTGAAGAAGTTGAAAGCAAATATCTTTCCTTAGCTCTCCATTTGCTAGTATTGTTTGGAATTGAAAACATTGAGACTTCATCAGTCTTACTCTTCTGACAGCATTATTTTGGACATTCTTTTAAAAAAGATTTTATTTAATTAGTTACTTATAGTTCCAGATAAATTTATTTTTATTTTATAAAAAAAGTCATTTAAGAAAATGTAGAAAATACAAAAATTTAAAAAGAAGAAAAGATAATCATCGTTGGTTGAACCAACCTGAATTTTAACTACTATTAAGTATTTTACTTTTTTTCTAATCTTAGTTTTTCTCTATGAATAGGTGCAGGTTTTATATAGCTCTATTATATTCTGCCTTTCTAATAATATCTGAATAATATCATAAGCAGATTATTATACATATTTGTTGAGATTTAACCATTGTATGGAGGACTTTCATAGACATAATTTAATCTCTGCCAGAAAAGAACAATTCTCTTGAGAAGAGAAAACTGAGATCAAAAAGTTGCTGCTAACTCAAAGATGCATACATAGCTAGTTAATAAAATCAAGATTCACATTAGGTTTTTCGACTTCATGTCTGGTTGCTTTTCCCACTATGTTACATCTATTGAATTTGTACTGTGAATTATTCTCATTAAATATTGTCTTAAGGTACTTTTTTGTAATTCTTACCTAAATGGAAACTTATTATTACAGACATAAGCCTTCCAAAGTCAGCAGCAATCTGTTATACAGCAGCGCTGTTGAAGACAAGGACTGTTTCAGACAAGTAAGTGTTATGAAAGCTATCTTAATTTAGAAAGAGTACTAAACTCAATATTATGTTTTTTTCTCTACTGAATTTAAACGATGCTCTTTTTCCTCCCTGCTTCTTCTGAGTAACCCTTGATTTCTAGGGCTTTGAGGCTTCTTACTAAAGGTAGTGGAAAGAGCAAGGCTTTAGAGTTAGGTAAACCTGGGCTCAAATTCAAACTGTACCACAGTCCAGCTGTAGGACTTTGGGCAGGTTAATAATTTTGGGTCTCTTCTTTGTCTTTAAAATAAAAATAATACCATGGGATTCGTGGTATCTAGAAAGTTCACAGAGTGAATAATAACTATGGTGATAATGATAAGGTGTGTGATCGAGAAATAGGTTTTAGTTATCTGCTCTAGATTATAATTCTCAGTTATCCTTCTTCTTTCTATTTTTGGCTGCCTTTAGTAAATTCTCTTTATTTGTGCAGATAAGATAACTCAGAAACCAACTAAATCGTGACCATTTTCTCTCACCTTAGATTATTATGCCTTGATATGAATTAGAATGGAATACTCACAGTGTGTTTCCTCTCAGAGAAGAATTCCATAAGAATGTACTTCTAGCCGGGCTCTGTGGCTCAACCTGTAATCCCGCGCCTTTGGGAGGCTGAGGTGAGTGGACTGCCTGAGCCCGCGGGTTCGAGACCCGCCTGGGCAGCGAGACCTCATCTCTACAATAAATTTAAAACAAAATCAGCTGGACGTAGTAGCACATGCCTATAATTCCGGCTACTTGGAAGGCTGAGGCGGAAGGATCGCCGGAGCCCAGCAGGTCGAGGCTGCGGTGGCCAGGAGCAGCCACTGCACTCTAGTCGGGGTGACAGAGTGAGACTCCAACTCAAAAAAAAAGCATGTACTTCTATTTCATGAGATTCTCCAGACATCCATGTGTAGCATTTACTATTACTTTTCCCAGTGTGCCTTCAGTGGATTTCTGAAGACTTCCTTTACCTAAGTTAGAAGATTTTCATTCCTGATGCCTTATTTTATATGTTGAACCAGAAGATTTTACTTTCATTTTTTTAGTAGTCATCTGACTTTGTCTTTGGCCATTGCCAGAAACTTCTTTTTTTTTCCTTTTGAGTTGGAGCCTCACTCTGTCACCCACGCTAGAGTGCAGTTGCACACACAGCCACCGCAGCCTAGGCCTGCTGGGCTCAGGTGATCCTTCCATCTCAGTCTTCCAAGTAGCTGGAACTACAGGTGTGCACCACCATGCCCGACTAATTTTTTAATGTACTGTAGAGATGAGGTCTCGCCAAGTTGCCCAGGCTGGTCTCGAACCCACGGACTCAGGCAGTCCTCTTACCTCTGCCTCCCAAAGTGCTAGGATTACAGGCATGAGCCACCACGCCTGGCAGAAACTTCTTTCATTCAGGGTCTGTATTAAGATATAAATCCATATGTTTTTCTTTTTTTGGTATATTTATTTTTTCATTTTGTGGTTTTCTTACAGATTCTCTCCAGAAACAGCCTCCAGAAGAGGGTTAAGCACAGCGGAAATTAATGCCGTGGAAGCAATTCATAGAGCTGTGGAATTTAATCCTCATGTTCCAAAAGTGAGACATTTTATGATGAAAACACTTGTACTTAAATTTATCAAATTGATGACAATGTGTAAGCCAACGCTTGGGTACCATAATTTGACCCAGAATTGTTTTAGTCAGCTATATTTTGATTCTTATTATTCGCCTTAAAGAGGGTGTTCAAAGCCAAGTTCGGTGGCTCAGCCTGTAATCCCTTGCTTTGGGTGGCTGAGGTGAGTGGATTGCCTGAGCCTGTGGCTTTGAGACCCACCTGGGCAACTTGGTGAGACCTCATCTCTACAATAAATAAAACAATTAGCTGGACGTGGTAGCACATGCCTGTAGTTCTGGCTACTTGGAAGGCTGAGCGGAAGGATCGCTGGAGCCCAGCAGGTCGAGACTGCGGTGGCA